CCGGTCTGAACGTAGCATAACAGTCATGTTTTTGGACTGTATGAGGAAGCCGGAGTACCCTGACAGAACCCATGCATGCAAACTCAATGCAGAAAGACCCTGGGCTGGGAATCAAACCCTCAACCTTCTTGCTGCAAGGCAGTAGTGCTACCCACTGCACAGCCCTATTCTAAACTTGTTTTTAAATTTTAAATAGAAGGTAGAGCTTCAAACATTAAGTAAATTCACAGTAAATTTAGTTCTGCAGATTTTTTTTAAGAATATATGAAGAACTATATAAACAGTGTGGGCTGGATGAAATCCTACCATCACTGCTGCCGCGTGGGACCAGGACGTCCGGTGACGGAGTCTGCTGCGAGCGCGAGCCGAAGGAGTCCAGGCTGTCAAATGAATCTTCTCGTCCGTGGCGTGGCGGAGAGAGGGAGTCACTGCGTTCCGAGTCCCAGCAGTCAATGTAGCCGCTGTCCCGAATGCTGCGTTGAGGACTTTCTACTGTCTCTGCCTCCTACGTTACAGAATGTGTAAACACATGCATTTCAGTTTTTCAAACAGCTGAACTCAAAAGAAAAATAGATTAAACTGGTGTTTGATTCAGTTTATTGAAAGTAAGACAGAATGTGAATGCTGCATAATGCATCTCAGCTAACTCCACAGCCCTCCCACGTCTATTTAGTCAACAACCTTTTTAAAATATCCCTATTATCTTCTGCCTACATCCTTGCTCATTACTCTCTCTTCACCTTAGTGACCTTTCTCTTTTTTCTGCCACCAGCTGAAATGTGTCTTTGGTACTAATGGAAGGTGGGGAAAGACCTTTCCTGACAACCAAATGACTTCCTTTTCCTGACCCCTGAAAGCTCTGCCATACAGCTTCATAAATCTCTGTATTCTTGAAGGTTCCATGGTGTGTGGGTATTGTGTTTGACGTTTGCTTTATCTGTTTTCGATATGTAAGAATGTTTACAGATATAAGAGCTTCCTTCAGGCTAGTTCAGTCAGAAAAACATCCACCTGCTTCATGCTTTTCAGTAAGCCTCTTTTAGAACCCACTGGAAAGCATGACTACAACGTTTTTTAATATACTCCTCTTTTATATCAGCGTTTTTTTTAATTTTTTTATTTAATGGAATTTTTTTCTTTTCTCCCATAAGCAATGTGTAAACATCTGGTAAACTAATTCTGCTTATTTGGCAGTAATTGTTCTCTTTTACAGACAGTGAACGGATGTCACTGTGTGGAAAAATTTCATCTAGGATGACATCATTACTGTGAATGATAGTCACAGGAAGATTTGTATAAAGAGTTCCAGCATTTCTCTGTCCTTCTGGACAGCAACATCAGAATTTCCAGCAGTCTGGATTATGAAGGTCGTGACCAGACCTGAGGTGGATGATGCTATTCTCTCTCTCTGAGATCATTTCTCAAATATTTTCCAGGACTTCCAAAAAAAAAAAAAGCAGAGATTGTTTTTATATCGTTTAATGCCACACTAGATGGTCATTTGGTGACAGCAAGAAAAAGCTTGTGGCTATCAGCTCATAAGAAATGAAATTCCCCATAGTTACAGAGATAACCAGCAGAATTAAGAGTGTAACTGTACAAGGAACTGATTAGATGATTAAATCTATTACCATTGTTGTTCATTATAATATAATACAATTTAATGTAATTTAAAGTAATACAATATAATATGATATAATATAATGACCTTTCGCATTTGTGACAGCAAGCCCTCAAACTCTTTTAGGTCCAGCGTGGGCCCGTTGTAGGAGGTGCAGCTGTTGGCAGCACGACCGAGCCAGTAGATTGTGATTAAAACCTGCAGGTAGAAACAGATTAAATTATTACAAAATTCAGGTAATATTTGGCATGTTGGAATTATATTAATCATGAAATATGTAGGAATAATATAGAAGGGAAAAGAAGTATTTGAAAACCCTGCTGCTGTATCATGCAAATACATACTTAAAATAAATCATACATTGTGATTTGCTGTATTTTTATTTTTTTTTTAGATCAGGTCTCAGTGGACATGCGCCTACAATGACAATTTCAGACCAATTCATGATTTCTAAGTGGGAGAACTTGCAAAATGGCAGGGTGTTCAAATACTTATTTTCCGCACTGTATGTCTAATAAAACCAATGTGGCTTTGAATAAACATTTTTCTATAAAGTAAACAAATAAATAACAGAGCAGGTATGCAAATAGTCTGCTTTTAATGTGGGAAATACCACAAACTTCCCCAGGAGTTGATGACTAAGCACTATGAAACAAGCCATGGCTGGCATGAACATTTAAATACTCAAAAAAGTGGTGCATGAACCGACAGTTACCGGTATGTATTTTGGTTAAATGACCTCTGAGCACCAAGGAAAATGATTTAACACTTGTCCTTCTAAGTCTTAATTCATTCTGTAAAAATTATAAAGTAGCAACAAATCTTTAAATTAAGGTATATGACTGTTTATATCCATTTCTAGGGTCTACACTCCTCAGCAAATGCATGAATATCTAATTAAACCAAATGGTATAAAAAAAACTATCAAAATGGAATGCATGAGTTTCGGAACTATATGCTTAACAATACAAAAATTGCTTCTTTATAGTTTAAAATAATTATTTGTGCAGTGCTTCCTAAAAATGAAAGCTACAATCTTAAAAACAAAAAGGTTAATAATCTTTGAATACTCATGCGGGCACTATAACCAGAAGCATCAGAAAGCAGAACAAGAGCAAGGCTTTTTTTTGTGGGAACATAAAACCAGCTACACACACCTCTCTGATCCATATTCTGACCTGTGAGTAGCCACTGTGATTTATTAGATAAATGATTAGATCAGAGTAAACTCTTTTAGGTAGAGAAAAACTGCTAAAGTAGAAACTCTGCTGTTGATTAGTTGCACTAATGGACAAACTAAGTGTGAATGAGAAAATAAAACATACAGCACACATTTCAGTTTCTTTGCAGTCAGATTAATGTGCAAAATGCTGAATATACAGTCTAAGCCTGAGATGACACAGGGCTGCACCTTTAGCACTGTTGGCAGGGTGCTTCCTGCTATATTTACAGTGTCCATGTCAACCTGCACGCCACAGGGGAGGCAGTGATAAGAGGGCTCAGCCAGGCTTAATGTGTTTATTGCACGTCCACTGTCAATGCAAACAGCTTCTGCCATTCAAATACACAGAGAAGACAAGCAAATGGAAGGGCCCGGTAATTAGAGTGAAGTCAACATCCAGTTGAGTCATTTACTGTGAACCACAGTGAACTTAACCTCTTAATATCCAGCTCATTTTGGGAAATTCTCGCCTATTTTGCATACCAAAATGGAAAAGCAAATAACTTACGAACTCTAAGCCCAAAAAATTGGGTAAGTAAAACACCCGAGCTGCATTAATCCCAAACTGCATCAGTTCAAACATGACTCAAAGTTGGGGTTTTTTATTCTCGAAAATAATAGGTATTTTTTGAACAGCAACTGCTTGTTGTGACTGCTTTGTCATCTTTACATTTTGACATGCTGCTATATCTGTGTTAATTGTTCTTTGGTGCTCGCTGTGTCCATCAAATGAACTAGTTGGTTGAATTGTGGAGAATCAAAGCTTTACAACGATGTCTAACATGTCTATATTGGTAAAGATTTTACCAGTGTAATTTTCGCTTTGAGAGGTTAATTACAAATATGATTCCCCCCCCCCCTGCTCTCAGGTAAAACAGTCTCAAAGAGAGAGACTTTAGCTGAAACCGAAACTGAAGGGGGTGGAATGGTTCTCCAGCCACAGCGCTAATTTACATCTGAAAAGGGATTCATGAGTTGATAAGTACTGCGGGGAGACGGCAGGCTGATGAAAATTCTCGTATCTCTGGGATTTCTAGTGTTAAAGGTAATGATTCCGTTATCTGGAGTAAGAGGTGATTTATGGAAAATATTCATTAAAAGCTCACAAATATTGTCTGTTTAAATCCTATTTTTGTTTTCAGGTAATCCCACATTTCTATGGCCAGAATTCCACTGGGTCATTGGCTTTCAGCCTTTGCAACATTCATCTTCCTCATTGTAAATGGGTAAATAAGATGTCAATAGTAGCTGATATCCCTACCCTAAACAAGCACTGGCTCTGTTAAGGTGGCAAATCCTTATCTTAAAGGCTGTGTAAAGAAGATTCACATTTTTTTTTTTAAACACATTAGAGATGTGATAAATGTATTCTTCTACATGTGTAAAAAGTCATGCAATATGTTATATTGCACTAGGATTAAATATGGGTTTTATATTCCGGTGTTTCAGGATTTTTGGGGAGTGTCAAAAAGTGCGACCTCATGTTATCATGCAACTGCCTTCGGCAAAGCCCCCCCGCTGGCCCAGCAGTATAAAAATGAACAGTGAAACCACTTATGCATTGTTACCAATTAAGCGGCTTTATCTATATACTTACCACTGTTTCAGACCCCTCTAAAGAGTTTGCTAGCCACCAATCTAGTGGCATTATTTTGTCTGTTTGACACTGTTTGTGAGTTTACAATCTTCAGCGAACAATTACTGAGCAAGCCCCTCCCACCTTCAAGACACAGGGACTCTGACGCAGCAGCTGCAGCCTGTCTGTAGTCAGAGAGCAGAGTGATTCTCCTCTGTTTCGCTTCTAAACATGAGTCATACATAAGCATAGAGTCCACCTATCCCCCTTTAATTAAAAATCTGATTGTAAATGTAATATTTAGCTATTTCTTTCTTTAAAACATCTGCGTATTTTCTTGCTGATGAAGATTCTCAGTCATCCAGGTCATAGTCATTCCGTAAAAGTAAAAAATAAAATCCACTGGACTTGGTTTCCAAGATTTGAAGACGTTTCGCCACCTCTCCAGGAAGCTTTCTCAATTCAAAAATTGAGAAATTTCAAGTATTGCTAAAACGGACGTTTTAGCAATACTTCCGAGGCCTAATTTAATATGTTTAGCTGTGTTTTAATCATTCAAATTCATATGGGTGATTAATAAAACATATTTCTGTAGCGTGATAAACTGAGAACAGACACTGATTCAAACTTATGCAATCTTTAATGTAAAAATGTGTTTTCTTTCTTTTGCAAGATTGAAAACTGCATTGCAGATTTTAAACCCTTTGTGCATCACACATGGTGTGGAGCTATTTTCCTTGCTGGATAATGTTCCCTGGGGGATATGAGCAGAAAGAGACCAAATGTAGCTGAACATTTATTCTCTTTAGAAATTAAAAGGTGCTAAATGTAACTTATGTTTATTTCTATGTTTGCTTTCATCATATGACAAATGCTTGAACTGAATCAGCTGTGTTTATTTTGGCAAAAAATATTATAATGGTTGAAAAGATAAAAAAAACAAGCTTTCTGTTGAAACACAGGTTGTCTCAATAATCCGCTGTAATCCTATGTAAAGTCCGAGACAACTTTTAGCTATATTCTTGCCTGCTCAGATTGTTTAATACTAGAGATTTATAAAATCTTTCATTTAATTTTTTTCCTATCTCTCAACTTTGGAGAAAACATCAGCATCAGATATCATGAGCTTAAAGGCTGAACACAACTTAGAGGACAAATTTTAAAAATGTCCTCAACATTTAACCTTATTATAAGCATCATGTACCACTCTCAGCAACAAAGTACAGCACTCCAGTGTCACCAGTATAATGTGCGCATCTCTAGTAAATCTAGGTCGCCACCAAATGTGTTCCACATGCTCACTATTGAGCATGAAACACAGCTCTGTATTGATCCTAAATACAACACAACAGCAAGAAGCTTGGAAGGTCTGTACCAGCACTATCTAGACAAGCAACACCATAACAACTGACAACTGCATCAAACGTGAAGTCTGACATCAGCAATGACATGGACCAGGTGAAAGAAACCATTTGTTCAAAACAAGTCAGTGAAGTTTGAGTGACAGTAAAATAAACAACAGGCCTTGGAGAGAGAGGAGAGGAGAAGTGTGTCACACTTATTTTATCGTTATTTTATCATTTCCAGCAGCTGTAATACACGGTCAATCCATAAGGTTCAATTGAAAGGTGATGATGAGCTCTTTATATTACATTACAAAAACACAAAAGATTGCAAAACAGCTCTAAAAAGTGTCCTCTGATGTCAACCCAAATTAAGATGAGTTATCTATTCCGTGTGGTAATTGCTCCTTTAGATCTTTGTTTTGCACAATTGGCTCATCTCGTTTACACCATTACAGATATTTTCCACTCCTCCAGGCAGCTTTTTTCAAGGTAACATCAAAGCTGTTTGCTAACACCTTTATGATCACATCAGCAGATTATTCTCACAGCACCTTCACCTCTCTATATATGATGCGTTGCAGAGACAGCTGCCGTCCAATCCCCAGTCTTTAGTCTTCAGCGTGCAAGGCAAATCCACAGTGCACGTCACAAACGCAGGTCCAGGCTAAAGGATCACCATTCGGTAACTTGCGTATCATTTTCTCTGCAGCTGTAAATGCTGGCTATTGCAGCAGAGAGTTTGTTCAGTCAGCTAAATGATCTAGCTGAAGCTGTGGGATCTGTAGCTGCACACATTAACTTGCTCGGTGCACACCAGCATCACAGTGAGAGTGAAGGGACTGAGAAAGAGTGGAGCTGCTCTGACTGCAGAGTGGGCAGGGCTATCACAATGCCCTCTGCTTCTTAAAGAGGCACTTTAAAAAAAAAAATGCCAGGGAGGTGTTCGAGCAGATACCCAACACACACAGCAAAAAAAAATCTATTTAAACTACAATAAAAACCTGATTGGAGTAAATGAAAAAGGGAAAAAGCAAAACAAATAAAAAGAAAAAAAAAAATGTTTAGTAATGGCAGCCCAAACAGACAAAAAAGTTAGTTTAAACAAAAAGTGACACTTACATTCTTGAGTCTTCGGCTGCCGTCGCTTCCCCTGGACAAAGATACAAAGACATAAAGAGAAATGTGAGACATGCTGAAACTAAAACAGTAGAGGAATTTAGGACACACCTTTATTTAACTTCAATTTGCCAAAGACAGCAACAGCACCAGAACTAACTGCAATAATCTGTAGAGGTTGTACAGCTTGCTGGCAGGAGTGATGTATCACCATAACTCATTGTTTTACTCAGCAGCTTCAACAGATCAATGACTTTAGTGCTTGCTTTTTTCTTTTTTTTTTTTACTGTTGAGATTATGAAGTGCAAAATGATGGACAGAAATCCACAAAGAAAATTGCTGATGACTAAAATTAGAGAAGTTCTTGCTAGTACAGTGGAGAGTATCCCCGCCTGTGGGGGGAGGGTTGGCCTAGTCATTAGAGCATTGTGCTTGTGCTCTGAGAAGGTTGCACCCGGTTTGTTCCCCACAGCCTCCACCCTGGGTTCCTGAGTAAAAACGCATAAACCAACAATGCTCCCCGGGTGCCACACAATGGCAGCCCACTGCTCCCCAAGGGGATAGGTCAAATGCAGAGAGTGAATTTCCCCATTGTGGGACATAAAAGGGATTTACATTTCTAGCTTGATTAGCCATATTGTGCTCTAGAACTCATCAGATACATAGGTTCACCCTCAAGAAGTGTGTTTATCTCAAGTTAATGCCGAATGACCATGTTAAACTGGTAGAGTAAAAAAGAAATACATTTCTAACCCTGGGGAAGATGACACACACAGTTTATATGAGCAACATTTCTCTATGAAAAGGTACAAAATATCCTGATTTATACTGATAGCATATAGGACTCATTTGGTTTTAACTAATGAGTCCTCTTAAGGAGGATTCCCAGAATATATGTCAAAAACCACATAATTGAGTATTAGCCAAGTTGGTGCAAAACAAGCAAAACAAAAAACACACAAAAAATAACAACAAAGAAAAGACACCAGAGTAAAAGATTTGTAGAGAATCCTATTTTTCTTTCATAACATGGAATAAAGCTTTAAGGAGCATAGCACAAGTTCAGAGTTTTCCTCAGATGGCAGCTTAAAATGAAATGTTTGTGCATAAACATGGGAGAGGAGGAAAAGCACTACAGTCTGATACTACAGCTATTTTGTTCAAAATTGTAATTTTGTAGGAAAGTCAATAATATTGAAGTCATTTTCAACAAGGTACTCTATCTTACCTTTTTTTAGCAAAATAAAAAAAAACAACAACTGTGGGTCCATTTTCATTCTGGATGCAAATCGGAGTTCTCTTAAAAACTACCGACAAGGATCCCTTTGTCATGAACTGAGTCTATAGATGCAATTTCAGTAAATGGAGGTAAGCTCAATATGCACGTTGGCCAAATGTAAAGGCATGTATGGGAAAGAGAAAATGATAATTGATAATAATGTTTAACTTCTAAACTTGCAAATTTAAGATTTAAGAAAATAATCTGTTTTTCTTTGTTTTTTGTTTTTCTTTAAGACTACTGTTTTCCCCTATTTTCAGACACCTATCCAAATATGAAAAACAGGAAAACAAATTTATGAATTACCAGTATCATGAATCTCTACCGCCATTTTCCAAATCCCTTGCTCACAACTTTCACAACTTTATTATAGTTAGTACGTATATATCATTTTGTTGATCCAATTTTGGTTTCCTGCTTAAAGTTTTTCTCACCTTTCAAAATAACATCCACTATTAGACACTGTATCAACCTGTAAAATGTGACCTTTGCTGAACTCAGATATACACTGATAGCGTATGGTGTGGAAAAACACTGAACTAGGTAGACGTAAAAACATAATTAATTGAATTTCATTATTACCAGGTCATATTAACTCTGTGTCCTGATGGGTGTCTATGTTTAGAAACCAACACTTTACACATTTTAGAGTAACATGTCAAAAAAACTTCCAGCAAAGTGAGCTTTTTCATTTGTCTATGTTCATATCTACACCAATGGCCATGAGTCATGACCAAAAGAGCGAAGATTAACTTTCTCTGCAGAGTTGCTGGGCACTCCTTTAGAGATAGGATATGAGACGAGATGTACAAATAGTTATAAAAATCATAACAAAATAAATAAACAAATTTAAAAAGAAACTTAGCAGGTAAATTCTAAAATTTTATTATTTTCTCAGATTGCGCCTATTCTCACCTACATTTTCACTCACACATAGAGATAAACATCAAATAAAAAAAAAAAGACTGCCAAGAACCAAGATATAAAAGGTTAAGAAAATGCAGAATATTAGGTTTCTCTAATGTTTGATGAAAAAAAGCCTTTGACACTTGAAGGATGGGTACTAGGTTACAGTAATGCAACCAAATTCCTATATCATGAGAATGCTTATATAGGTACCAGCCCCCGAGGGTCAAAGGGCCAAACTCGCTCAGCAGGTAAGTGAAACCTAAATGGCAGATAACTGAGTTTCCCAGTGACCTGAGAAACAAATAGTGAGATGTAAGGTGAGGTAGAAGTTGGAAGTAGCTGCAGGGAATGAATCACAAACAGGTCCTCCATTGTTAATCCTAGTTGTCTGTCAGCTGAATAGATATGAGGGCAGGTTGCTTTTTCTCTGCCATTACCCTGCACAAATTATTCACATTCCATAGGATATTAGCTCATATGTAGAGGCTACAGTCAAAGAAAACATCCAAAACATTTCTTCCATGTTATTCTGTCAGTGAATTGATTCTATTGGTACAGGTAACAGTTGAATGAAGCCTGATGTGGATTAACCAAAAATAACATAAAGAAATGTGGTTGATTCATTCATGTGAAGCAGGCAGTCTATACCATTTCATCTAATTTGATTTTTGCTCTTTCTCTGCAAAATTTGCACTGTTGTTCTTTTTTAGTGAAATGTTCCAATACAACTTGCATTTGTTTATTCTATTTCTGCTGTATATATGCTTGACTATGTGCAGCACCTTATTACCATAACAAATCCAAAGGGCAGTAAAACATTTTCTGACTCTAATTCAAAACTCATTTTATGAAATTCATTTTTTACAAAAAAGCAAGAAAATCTGGATTAATATACAACTATAGATATATAAAGATGGTTAATATTCCCAACTTCCTTCTGTCAGCTCAAAGCTTCATGCAATCTGAATTAAGGCAAAAGGCAATTTCTCTGATAAAGCCTAATTTTATTGAAAAGCTGCATAACTACAGTAAATATCTTCTAATATTTTCTTGAGGTAAATAAGGCACAGCATCAGCAGTGCTTTTTTGTTCCATGTACCTTGAATCACATCCATTGTGATCTGCTTCATCTCTCACATGTATTATGGTTGTATTCAAGTTGACCTGAAGAAACTGGGATGAAAAAATGGTCAGGGCATCTAAAAAAATCATCTGTGGGTATTTTTAGTCTTTAGTTGCAGCTATCATTTAAAAGTGACCAACTGTATGATTAATGGCGAACTGATGACAGTATATGTGTCACCAGTTCAATATGTGAACTTGTGCATTCTCATGTGCTCGTGTACTCATGAAATGTCATCAGCCTCAGTCCTTGTATTGTTCCAATTCACAAGAACAGCAAACCAAGAACCGACCGGATGTTGTTCTCGCCTCTCCCTCTTTACTGAATAAGCATTAGAGAAGACTTGTGTTCTTGAGATTGACAGCTGTCCCAGAATGCAATGCGGCAGCAGCAGCTTTCAATGGAGCGCTCACAGAGCTCAGAGTATTAAGTTAAAAAGTTATCTTTTCTGTAGCTGTTCTTCAATAAAAGTCGTTTTTAAGATCATGTGAGGTAGCAACATTTTACTTTTAAGCGTCACTATATGGCCCATTTAACGATTTAATGTGTAATTTGAAAAAAAAATTCTGAAGTTGAGAGGCCCGCCGCAACAAGCAGAGCTTCGAGGGTAACGGCAGCAGGTCTAATCCTAACTAGGGGTGTAAATCACACCCATCATGGCGATTCGATTCAGTATCAACAATTAGATTATTTTCAATACTCAAGAATACACCACAATACAATTCGATTAATTGGGCTCTTTTTTTTTTTTTTTACCTTACAGGCTAGACAATGTTTCAAATTTGAAATAAATCAATGACAGCTGTAATATTGTTGTGCATTTTATTTGAGAAACAACAGCAAATAACAGAAGTAAAAAAGTTGTACTCCACCTAGACCAATGAAAACATCATTCACTGAAAAATAATTATTGCCCTGCTTTATAGATTCTGAAAGACCTTGCATCAAAAAATACTGCACACAATCAGTGCAATGAGTGCAATACAATACCTCGGCTCCAGAGTGTCGACGTCCCCGCCCCCTCCAAAAGACACTCTGCTGTACCTCTCCGCAGACACTGCCGCAGACAGAGCCGCAGTGCCGGCTTGTTTTGTTTTTATGACCGAAATTGCGTAAAAAAACTCGTAAAGGTTGACCAGCTAGAAGAGCGAGGTGTGCGAGAACTCTAGGACCCTTTTTCCACCTGGATCTCCGCTCTTTTTGGCCCTCATGTCCCTCCGTTGTCAGACAAACTCTCCCCCACTTCCTCACCGCCTCAGCCGTATCTCGACCCACAGCATATAGCGCAGACCACGCTTCAATATTGAGCATAAATCAAAAATGCCTGTGTCAAGCTCACTGCGACACACTGCTGCAGGAGTATAACCAGGAAGCGAGGTAGGAGAGCAAAATAGGTTTAGCGCCACCGCAGCACGGGAGTGAGAATTACACCCCGGAGGAAATGGATAAAAATAGACCGGAGAAAGAAAAAAAACATGAATCGATACTCTTGCGGATGTGTCGATGCATCGGATCGTCGGCTGTTGGATCGATGCATCGATACAAAACGATTATTATTTACACCCCTAAACCTAACCCGTCTGCAGCAGCCCTCTCTCAGGATACAGAATGGTGTGTGTGAAGGACGGCAGGCTCTGAAGGCGATTTTATTATTTTATTTGGCAAAATGTTAATTTGGTTTGTGTTTATCTGACTGTGTTAATTATTATTCCCCCACTAAATGAAAAAAATTCATAATTTATTATTATCTACAGACTATAAATAACAGAAGGTGAAATGCAGCTCCACACTAGACGAGCGTGTGGTGACGTCACAAGTACGCTTCTGCTCCAATTGACCCATATTTATGCTGCATGCTCCCGTTCTCCCCAAGTCCATCATTTCCTGTGTTCTTCTCAAGAACATACTTGGCGAGAACATGAGACTCATTGATGAATAGTTCTGTACTTGACAGGTAAGATACCCAGCAGCTCCCGCCTGTCAACTGCTGCATTTTAGATGTTCATAACCTCCAAACTCATAAGATATTAATCAATTCAAGCAACCGTTTGATGTTCAAGACAAACTGGAAATTTTTAAGGTTTAACTTCAATAAAAAAAAAACAAAAAAAAAACTTCATTGGCATCAAAGGGGATCAAAAGTTGTAACTCAGGATTTTTCTTTTCGACAAGTTTTTGCAGATGTTTACGGCTGTAGGCAGGAGCAGTTTGTCCTGCAGCAGATCTGGAGATCCCTTAAAACAAAGACACTATTATTGAAGAGAAACTTTTTCTCTTTTTTTTTTTTCCCACAATGCTAAATTAGAGGATCTGCTGATAACAGCTCAGCTAACACCTTCAGGGTACTTAAGGAGTCAATACTCTGACTGCCAAGGGCAGACAGCAAATGAGAGGGGGAGAAAAAAGCTAGACAGGTGGTCATAAAGGTATGCCTGATAAAGTGGAGTGAAATGTTCATTCCCTTATTAATCTCCTTTCAGATTGTACGTTTGTCATTAAGAGAACGTTTCTAAGATGAGCTCATGGCAAAACAGAACCCATCTGTCTTTCCAATTCAAACGTCCCTTTACAGTTGAGTAAATACCAGCCTGGATTCCTATGAAAGAAGCACAGAAAGTGTCTTCTGTCACTGAAGGGCAAGGAAACAGCATCCTGTACAGCAGAAGGTTACATAACTACTGGAAATAGCACAGGGCCACTGGAACAATGACACCTCAGTTTCCTTTCAGGTCCAAGTTAATGCAGCTAACTTCCCTCATGATTATTATTATTTCTTTTCAGTTCTACATATTTAGCATATTGACTAATTTAACCAGGCAGGGTGATCCTTCTCCTCAGAAAAAGTGCTGGTATTCTAAAAAAAAACAAATCCTACTTAAAGGTTTAAGGATTTTACTACCTTTGCATGCCTGCATTAATGCCTCTCAGGTGCAAGCATGGGAGACTACTGGGCCTTTCATGGCAAAGAAGTATGTAGAAAATTCTAAGGATATTCATTAATTCATTTTGGGTGAGATTTTAATGCTCTGCTTTAATATTTTTAATATTATTTTAGTTGAATGAACACAAAGAAGATGATATTTACAAAATATATTCAGTATAAAATCTATAAAAACACGTGTTTCAGTAAATGCAGACATCTAAACATTTTCAAAGAGTTCCTTCGTCTGACAGAATCCCTCAAGCAGCTACTTGCAACAAGTGCAAAGAGCAGCACTTATCCTCTCTCATCTGATCTCCAAAGCAGCTTCTGAGCCCCTAATGTGAATGAAACTCTGTTAAACACATTTAGCATAAGAACAGAACATGCTAAACGTAAAGAGAGACACCCACACATTCACACAAACTCTGATATTAGTATAAAACATAACATGCACTTGGCTTTGTTTCCAAGCAACAAAGCAGGAGCCACGGCCGAGTGAGTGATGCAAAGTCTTTTGTTGTACTTGGACAGAGACCAGTTGTCTCCAACAGATATGCCATTGTTTCTGCATTGATAGGCTTGTACAAACTTCCATTCCCTGTCATTTACTAATTTATGTTGCAATGAACTGCAATCATTGTGCAATGCAGAATGACTGACGGCAAGAGGTGGAGGAAAGAAAAGCACAATCAGTGTTTAACAAGCTTTCTATTGACACACAGCTGAAGTGCTAAGCAGCATTCAGCCCATATAAATCAAAGCCATACATTGCCTTTCTTTATTTTGTGTAATCCCCAACCATATGCTTAAAATAGATCATTAGTATATCAGAAAAAGCAGCAAGACAATAAACTCTGAATATGGTTGTTAAGTTATTGATGCATTGATTTCTCAGCTGGTGACCTGAATCAGTTGATTTTCCCTCTGACATGGCTTTGACCGTTTACTGGCAGATCGAACTCTCAGAAAAACAGATTTTATTCCAGTCAGGTGAGCATGAGCACAAAATACAGTCAGCCAAGTTCCAAATCCAAAAGTTCTGTTTTATTACTCCAAAATGTATTAAAAAAAGGAAAATAAATGTTACAAGATTAAATTGGAGTGCTACTGATTCGAAGCTATGGAATATTTGTTTATAGAATTTTCCACAGTTAGTGGTTGTCGATCTAGAAAAAATTCCACTGATTGAAAAAAAACAAGTAAAGAACAAGCAAAAAATGAAAACAGCAACCTATAAAAATCTGAAACTTAACGATTTTGATTCTGAAAATCAATGACCCTCTGGAGAAAATCTACTACATTTCAATCTCTAGCATTCTGGGAAATGTGAAGCCCTAAATATTAAGAAAGTAATAAAAAGAGGAAATAAAGTAAATGCATTGTAAAAGTGGAAATATAATCAATAAATTTGTATGTAAATGCTTAATCATTTCAATGTCTAATATGTATTTATTAAGAGCTAGCTCCACTTCCAGGATGAAAGTAACATATGTAAAAAAAACAAAAAAAAAACTCAACTTTATGGAAATGTGAAAAAAAAATTTCTATGACCTTAGGCTGTTAAAATGTGTTTCCTCCAATAGAGATAAATACCAAAGTTGTTAGCGTTGGAAAAGATACGCGGAAACACAAGCTTAATATGTGACGTACTGCAGGGGTATAATTTAAACATCATTCATTTTCTTTGCATTGATTTAAAGTGAAATAAAAAACCTTGTCTTTGATTTTGGATTAATGAAAATATACCTTAAGTCAAATTTTCTAATACAAAAAACAGAAAATATAATTTATGATCAAGTTTTTAAAAGTAAACAACGCAGCCATAAAAATACACATCAGTCAGATTTGTTTAATAGGAAATTTGAGCAACTAAATATTAAATTGCCAGCAAAATGGCAACAATTATATCTTAACCAGTGTTTTTCTTCCTTTCGTACTCAAAGTAAAATATTTCATCACATGGTTTTGCTGGTGAAGACTCTCAGTCATCCAGGTCATAGTCATTCCAAAAAAAGAAAATTAAAAAGGGGCAAACCCTTTTTGTCGATTTCAATTTGCATATTTTCAAAGCAAAAAACAAGGCTTTGTTGGGCTACTGTATAAAACCTCGAAATCAACGCTATTCCTGACATTTTGAATTGTAAAAGCTTCTTGGATCAGAAGCGAAACGTCTTCAAACTTGCAAACAAATTCCAGTGATTTGTTTTAATTTTCTTTTTTTGGAATCCCACAGTTTTGTTTTACAGTTAAACTACTATCATAAAAGATTAATTTAACCTAATTGAGGCATTTGATACATTTACCAGGGATTTCAATACATGTCTCAACAACTGTATTCCTTAATATCTATTTACATAACTCAGGTGTCTTTGTGCAGACAGTAAAAGCTAAACATCCCTCCTGTAGTGCAAACTGGGATCATTGGCTCTGGAACATAAATGGTAGGAGAGAAGGAGAGAGACACCAAAGCTTTGAGTCTTACTTTGCAGCAGGACGTGTCGATGTGTCCTGCAGGTCTCCAGGGTCAAACAGCTGGGAGCCTTTCAGTCCTAACTCCTCACAGCCTCGCAGAAAAACACTCAGGTTGTCCTGTGCAGAAAGCAAACCAACACCAGGTTACCTCAAAATTCAAAGCATACAATAACTCACCAGACCAATTATGACTCTCCGAGATGTCTTATTTTGGCAAACAAAATATTTTCAGCAACAACATTTGTGTTAAATTTTATTTATTTTTTTTTTAATCCTTTAGCCAAACAAGGCACCAGTCTCTGTATACAATGTAATCCTGGATACCTGCTCAACTGAAAGGTGACACTCGCCAGGGTTTATGTCCAGGTTTTGTAAATTTCCTTTCTTGGATTCCACCAAATTTCATTCTTCAGCTTCTGGCTTGATAAAATATTTTTCTTCTTGTGATCTGTCATCAATCACCTTCTCTTTTCCTTGGTCATTCCTTTCCTTCTTTTCTAACATTTCAGCCCTGGTCGCTGCAGTCCTTCAATCTTCCCTCATGTCTGCTCTAACAAACTCTTTGTTGGATGCAACCTGAGTCAAGTTCTCTCGTGTTCCCAGGTCCCCCCCCCCTCTCTCTTTGTGTGTCTTTCAGAGGGCTACAACTAAAGCCCTTCCCTCTCTTTTTCTCTCAGGGTGTCACCATTTCCTCCTCACCTCAATTGTCCTCAGACCTCTACTTTCCCTCTAACATGATCTTATTCACATATTCAGATCAAAATAGTGGATCTAAATGCATTGTTGGGGATTATTAGCTAAATTTAAAGTAAAATTATATTTGTTTTAGTTCTGCAGAGGATAAAAATCTATCCATGGCTAATAACATGAGCAGAACATGAAAAACACTTGTTCTCACGGTCCTTCTGCTCTTGGAGCAAAACAGTGGCTCTAAACCCACCCAGCAGCTTCCTGTGTTTTTGGGACGGGGCCATCTGTGCTCTCCTGGTGGGGAACCCCACCCACAGATACAAAACTCACACATGGCCATCCCTTTGAGAGAGGACTCAGCACTTTCTTCAACTGGTTTTCATTTCAGTGAGGTCTCACCTAGCTGTGATTTATTGTCTCTTGTTCAAAATTAAGAAAAAGAAAAACATTTTACTTTAAACTAGCAGATGGTGTATTTTTATGTTAAAAAAAGGAAGACTATCATTAGTAGCAGTGCGGTATTCCATCATAATGTTCACTTCTGATGCTGCAAAGAGCCTGGTTATTATCAAGTTGCTTGGAGCAAAGAGTTGTGCAGCATCGCCTTTTCTCACCTGTTGCAAACACTGCCAGGCAGCTGGCTGAAAGAAGGCTTTGCCCCCTTATAAGTGAAGGTACGGAAACGTATGCCAGCAAAAACGCTGGCATACGTTGGAAAAATTATGAGTACGTTTTGTATAGGTTCTGAGAAACACGCTGAAACATGCTGAAGCACGCTGAAACACACTGGCACACGTTGACATACAGCAAGTGTGTATGTCATACATGGGGCATACGTTACAGGCTAATTATTTGATCGTTGACATATGTTAGGTGTAAGTTCCTCATAAGATGTCATGTCCAGCCTATCCAAAACCTATGAGTAAGGTTTGCATAACTTATGCGTAACTTCTCAAGAACTTATCTCCAACACATATCAACATGTGCTACAGACGACCGTTGAACATGTTTCTAACTTACAGACACTGTTTAATGGCGTTTTGGCAGTGTTTTGGTATAAAAGGGGGTTCGCAGGAGGAGACCGTCAGATGTCCTCCAGACTTCATCCCCATCATAAGGTGAGCATGAAGGTAAGTGTGATGGATCCTCCCGGTGTTCATGCCCACGGCCATGACAAACAAACTTGCAGACATGACGCAGAATCTGATACGACTACAAACCTTTTACTTTTCTTTTTTTATATATATATTTTTTTTTTTGCCAGGTGGTAAACAGCTGCTTGGTTAATACCAGGATCAAATCAATCTTTTTATGCAGATTGGGCGCCTCCTAGCGCATTGCTGCCCCCCTCAGGACACTGGCTTGAGACATTTCTTGGGCATTATGCTGCTATGCGTTAAGTTACGCTGTCGTTGGACACAATTTCTAGACTTGTTATGAATAAGCTATGTATACGCCCAAAATTGAAAAAAATAATACATGGAAAGTTCAGCGTATGCCATTTTTTAGGGAATTCTGGGATGTCGGACATAGGCTGTCTAAATCGACAAGATGTGACAGGACTCTAATGAAGGGCATCCTGTTGCTTTTTTGCTTAAAAACTGCTAAATTTGATGATTGCTTATCATTTGTCTGCTTAATCCAAACAAAAATGACGAATATAAGAGTAAACATGACAGTAGTTTTTATTGAAAATGTTAGGTTATCAGCAGCAGTATTTTTTTTTGTCTTTACATAAGACCATCTTTGAGAAAATTATTTTAATTATTTGTGTAAAATCCTGTTTTGCACAGAGAAATAAATGTTTAAAAGTCTAATTAATTTTTTCCCAATAAAGGAACTGTTCATATATATTGAAACTAACTCAGGATTGACAAAAAAGCACAAAAGGTATTGACAGTTCTCATTAGTGAACTTTTCACTGAACATATATACTTGAAAAAAATGTCTAGTTATCCCTTGGAAGCCAAAAGAGAAGACAATTTTAATTCTGCAAGTAAATGTAAGTGACTCAGAACATCTAAAATTGTTATCCTTAGCTTTTTTCTAAGGGACATTAATCTAAAGCGCACAGAGGGACAATTCTAAAAGCTGCTCGCAAAAAAAAAAAAAAAAAGGAAAGATAAGAGACCAATTTAATTCAACTAAAGGAACTGTTTATTGACTTTATTAAATCAGGAGGTTACTACAAAAACAGATACTTATCTAAGCTTGCCTGCACCAACAGTCAGAAGGTTAAAGGGGTCATAGAATGATTATATATGGTATTTGGTGCTGGTCCTTAAGGTCTCTGAATAGGGTGTGTAACATTGGTCATGTTATTGGCCATGTTAAATGTGACCAGGACAGAGGAAACATGATGGGGTCAGAAGTATGACTATTTCTTTGTCTGATTTTAGATAACCATCTCTTTTTACATGTTAGGCGTTTGCAGCTGTTGTAGAGAGAAATCTAAAAATCTGTTTAGCTGCACAATATTTAACAAATATGTAACTATTGCAATGTCAGTGTATGGCATATAAACATCCCAAAAGGCTGTTTGGACTACAATATCTGTTGAAAATGATACCACTCTCTTTGTTCAAAAATACACCCATCCTGTCCGTTGGGCTCCACTGCAGCTGACACATTTACTGGATCTTAAAAGCTGTTCAAATCTAAGAGATTTTTGTTGTAGAAATGTGGTCAAATGTACAAACTGAGGCTGATTTCATCTTCTCTGTTTTGATAGAAACAGATATACTGATACAAGATATATGATACTGATAATTGAAGATACCTTTAAAGAAATAGTCATTTTAGTCATTTTAACTAAATAACAAAAATTACAAAAAAGCCAAAGCAATTTAAGATATCCAACTTTGATATTTAATTCTAAACAATTTGACAAAAAAATTGCTCAAAAAAATGTCAAAATTTGAAAGTAGAAAATGAACCCGAGAATTTGTTAGTCACACAATCTCTGGATATTAATGAAGCATGCAGCTTCAGTGAAAATCGGATTGGCTGGTATTTACAGAAAGTTCTTTCCATTTGCATCAACAAAGGTCAAACATACCAGTCTTTCATGGTTTGCATGGCAGGCATGAATGCTTAAAAAAAAACCTTTCAAATTCTCAGTCATTTGGATCATGCCAACCAAAACCACTGCTCTAGTGCGAGCCACCAGAATTAACAAAGACTCCTACATAGTTGAAATCTTTGCAGAAAAACTGAGTCAAAGTCCCATTGATTCAGATTAAAGGCTGTCTTGTTGCGAGCATTACTTCTATTCACCTTCCAAGGTGATCCCCCACTGCCATATCTTTTTACGCAGAAAAACACAAAAGAATCTAAAGACAGCTTAAAACAGCCTGTCACGCACACAGCGGTCACAAAGGTCAACCTGCCAAAGCAATGAGGTGGTCGTTCTAATTACAAAATAGTCTAAACTCCACAGAGGCTCATTTTCCCATTAGTCTCCCAACAGGAAGAGGAAGGGGGGAGTAGGCTGTGTTTTATTATGATCGGCCAGATAACAGCAAACTCCTTGTTTATGTGTTTCTCACCTCAGTAATCACAGCCAAGAGGCAAGAAAAAACACTTTGCAAAGGCAGAGGAACTTAGACAGAATTATTCAACTTGGAGACAGTAAAGGGACCCATTGTTTAGACACAGAAAACCCTCCAAGGTGTAGTGTTCTGATTTTATTTTTATGCCCTGATGTCACATTACTAATGTAAACACGTTTCTTTCAGTAGATTGTTTATTGTCCCTTTGGGCCAATTAGTAATTGCTAATTCCTGTTTTTCTAGTCCTCTAATTGTGCAGTCAACTCATGTAAAAGATTGTCTTTGTAATGTTATTTTTTGCTTCAGTGATTTTTGCTTCAGATACAAAATACTTTACACTATTTCCAATACATGCAGGTTACTAACCTTTTGAAAATTAGCTTTACGTGTTACGTAAGAATCAGCAATCTTAAAAAAATACGAACTCTGTGCACTTCCTTTTGCAGGCAGCAAACTTCCCTCCCACTATGGAAGTGATATCATAAATGATTGTCTTGAAACGCAAGGCACACCTAAATCCAAATTTCCTGTACTTATTGCAGAGGTTGTTGTTAATTTTTCTAATTTTGGAGATTTTTGATTTTAACAGAGTGCATGACGAAGAATTGTTGATGAAAAATGATCCAAAAGGCCAGGGTGGTTGAGGGATTGCTGTCAAGTCAATGAGTGGATCCTATCAACTGCTTTTCCTTAGATAGAAAACCTTGACCCAATCTGATTGTATAATTTGGTTGAATAGTCTCTTTAAAGGGCCTTGAGATGACATGTTATGAATTGGCCCTATATAAATTAATACAGAATTTAAACCTGATTTGATCTTGTGAGACAAGCAGATCCATCCTTTTTCCAAGTTTCAATAAAAAAAAAATATTTTCT